TTTCGGGTTCAGTAGGGGCCGCACACGTTGACCTCGGCAAACACGTATGCTCACTAGTAAATATGGAAGCGAAGTGCTCTGCCGGAGCGAGCGCACATTCAGTGCTAGAGGTCAGAGGCTGTCCGTCAATACCTTCTAACACGGCTGCGTCACTTGCGAAAAGGAGGCGTCGCTTCACGTAAGCAAATATCATCTCGAGGGCCGTTTTCGCTGAGTTGCAGGCTCTTCATAGAACTGCCGATGCTTTCTCGCCGTTTCATAGATGCCGTTGCTTTTTATATGCCTCATAATCGTCGGCACAGCCAGACAAGAGGAATCGATCCCACAATACGCCTTGCCGTTGAGCCACTTGACCACAGTGTCCGCGAACTAATTTGGCTTCACTGGTCCACCTTTCTTATGCTTGAGGGGTACAAAGCGTCAGAATAATAACTGCACACCCAGTTTCCTAAAAGATCAACAGGCTTCAATAGATGAATCTTGCGGAGGCGACCAGTCTACTTCACTGGCGGCTCGATTGAGACCACCGAAGTCGGTCATCCAATAATTGTAGGACGGCTCCGGCGGAGACGAGTAGGGCAGCGGAAGCTCTACCCTGACTATCACCATCGAATGTTTACTAGCTGCCAAAGCCTCCAGGACCTGAATTTCATATACGCGTTGCTTGCAACTTGTTAGTAGTAGATACAGGCACGATGGAGCAGAAGGCGATGTATCACGCGTCGGTTGGCAGACTGCCCCAGTTTCAAATACCAGTTCTGCAAACTGTGCCTCGAGTTCCTAGTGCCCGTGAGAAGTTGAACCTCAGGCTACCGTATTCGACGGAAGTTAGAAACACCCATAAGCAGGAAGCGGGATCGAATTATGTAGTTTCTGACATGTGGTAGCCAATCCAATCACCGATTCGCGAGCTGCGATAAACCGCACCCACATACAGTTCATTCTCTCTCAAGCGGATCGTGCACCACCCCTGTACTCTGCGGAATCTATGTATTGCACCTGTTCAACGATTAAAATAAGCGTCGTCAAAATGCCATCGTTCTTATGGTTAATGCTTTGTTTCGACGTCGTAAAGTAGGCCAATCGTTTCACATCGATGTCACGTGAAGGATAACCTGCTGTGTGCTTCTAGCCATCGTGCTTTCAAGGGTTTAGTTATCTTACATGCTACACCCATATTTTGCTGGCGAAGAACCCCCATCCACTTAATACACTTTGGCTTATGTGCTTGATATCCTGTCAGGAACACCCAGTTAGTGGTCAAACAATTGGGACCATGTGATGAAGGACGACACCAATTGTGTCCATCTGTTGGTAGTCATATCACCTAAAGCGCCTACTTAGTGTGGTTCTGTTCAACGCACAGGTGCACCTGATGGCAATTGGTGATACCATTCGCCATGTCACGCGCAGCTGACATATCGTTCGATTTGTATCTACTAAAAGTTATGCAGTAAAGCGGGTGAAATGCGTGATGAACGGATGTGTAGAACGCATAACACTACACAAGAACTCAGGGAGGGATGTTACGGTTAAGTGGAATGATGGCCGAAAGAGGGGAAAAAGGGTTACGCGGAACAAATGTCTCGTAAAGATCGCCAGATGAAACCGCTGAAGTTAGTGAGACTAGCACTAGGAACAGTGCACATGTTTCGATCAAACTTCTGTGTCAGCGTACATCTGTTTTCGGTAATTCCGCATCAGGCTTTTACAATTACATGAAAATCAAACTTTGGCATACATACCCAACCGCTTGTTAGTCAGCCAAATTGATTCTAGTGCACTATGACAAATCCTCGGTCCGGTGCCAGTTGTAGTCGTACGCTCGCACAGGTCAACTGCAGTCCGTCCTGGCCAAAGTAGACTCAACGCGTGAGTGAACCTTTTCTGCGTGCACAGTGTTGGTTCGTGCAACCGACGAGACGCTCGTCCGAAAGAATAAGGGAACCCCATTCGGTCTGGCTCGGAAATGGATGCCAAGAGGCCACCAATTCTGCAATCGCCGTGCTTCTTGCGGACACTGGTCACGCCAACAAGTCGACTGATTCGTTCAAAGGAATCTATCAGGCCCCAGAAAATCGATCGCATTATTTCCGTAAGCGAATATTAGACGCCGTAGCAGCCATTGCCATTCGGTTGCACGAACCAACCCTGTGCACGCAGGAAAGGTTCACTCACGCGTTGAGTCTACTTTGGCCAGGACGGACTGCAGTTGACCTGTGCGAGCGTACGACTACAACTGGCACCGGATCGAGGATATGTCATAGTGCACTAGAATCAATTTGGCTGACTAACACGCGGTTGGGTATGTACGCCAAAGTTTGCTTTTCATGTACTTGTAAAAGCCTGATGCGGAATTACCGAAAACAGATGTGCGCTTACACAGACGTTTGATCAACTGCTGGGTTTTCTCAAGTCAGTTTTTCCATTAGCTTTCCAACTCGTGATATTTTCATGTTTGGATAAGCCTTTGAACCTAGCAAACATTCCTGTTTCCGGCCATTCTCCCCTATCGATGAACATTCAGCCGCTTTCACCTAAGGAAGGCGCATTTTTCCAGTGCAGCGTTCTCATCTACCGACGTTATCTTTCAACATGTTTCGTTGACATTTTCACATAAGGCCGATTCGCTTGCTTATGCTTTGCTTGCAGAGTTTGCTTTCCTGAAATATAACAACAGTATATAAGCAATGCTAGAATGCGCTGTTATTTCTTTGAGTCTGGCAGTTAAAATTGTCTGTTGCGAAAGGCTTGTCTTTTGTCTAATTTCTCTGGGGTTTAGGTGGTTGTGCGTGAAATTGATTTCGATCTAGGCGCGCATTCCACTTGTGCGCATTGACTGTGTTGCACGTAAAGTACGAACTTTGAATTTTGGCGGATATTTTGTAATGCGTGAATGTAGTTCCGAGTCACATTCGTTCGTCCGGCTAGGGGAGTTGATGTCAGCTCTTTATAACGGCGTAACCAAGAGTGAAACTTAAGAAGAAGTCATTGAGGCAAACTAAAGTTGCTGAATAGAATGACGATGATGCTTAAACACCTAACCTCTTGATAAATCGGGTCAGTTCGTTGACCGATGTCTATGACATAAGACATCTAGTCTATAGAACTCATAGACCGGATAGTTTATTTTGGCTGGATTTCATGCCCAAATATGTGGACAGAGGTTCAAGGTAGTTTAATTATCGGCAGCTGCAAAACTCCATCTTGGACAGTAATGGCGAGATTGTGGTGGAACCTCTATCATTTGGAAATCATCACGGGGGTTTCTGAAGGTGCTAGTTTAAATGTTCACTTAACTCATGGCGGGTAGATGTAACCGCCATATTATGCATATCACCAACCCAAGAATCCATGCTGTTTGAAGTGTAAACCAAACAAATGTGCAAGTTATTTACCACGAACCGAAGTTAACAACCCTTGTCATCATGAGTGTTCATAAAATAGTCGTGGTTAGTGTTATAAATGCCCAGGTGAAACTAGACAAACATCCCAAAAGTTTTCAGTGAACAGCCACCAGAAGAGAACAAGAAGGCAGAAATCTAGGTTCGTGTTCCTCTGTGCAGATGTTCAACCACGTCCTTAAACCAAGATTCGCACAACGATGACCAACAGCATTAATACCTTACTGTTTTGTCCAAAATTGTTACTGGACTGTAAAAACCGTCTCGCAATTTGTATCTCTAGTAGCTGGAATGAATAACTATCTCAGTGAATGAGTGTCCCCCTCTCGCATAACTGCACTCTGAGCAATTTTGAGCTCGTTTGCATCGTTCATGCAGATAGCAAGGCTGTGACTCAAACCCTGAAACTGCATAGTTAGTCGAAGCTTTTACACCAGCCATCGTACAAGTAACAGCTATTTAGAACACTAAACTAGGTAAAGCTCATGGAACCACATTGTTTGTCTGAAGCTTTTGATATCTATCCCCATAATGAATTTGTTGCATCTGCCGGGTTTCTTAATTCCTGCAAGCGTCGACCTACATACCTTTGGTGTTAAAATTTCATACGGTGTGAATGTTCTCCCATTTAATCTACACATCTCCAAAAGACTAGGACTTACGTTTGCTAAAGTGGATCGGGACATACGGAACGTAGCACATCTTACTACTTCCAAGGAGAAAGATTTCCATGAATAGAATTCGATCTCTGTCAGGAACTCAGATATGTAATCAATTGTGGTGGGCCAAAAGCAGGTGCGCATGCGCCACAAATCGGTATTATAGGAACGTTATGGAAGCCAACCAGTAATAAGCCAACAGAGGATCATGTCAATCCCCCGATGGAAGACGAACCCTTAGGGCTACAGATGTATGTGCAACAGAAATATACACCGTGCGCGCCACGCAACATCTGGGAGTGATTTTAAAGATGGATGAAATGGTTAGCGGACAGAGTTGATGCATCCGGACAGTGCCAAAACGATAAAAGATATTGTGAACATTAAAGTAACTGTAGGAGGTGTACTGCTTGGGATTTTTGTCATTTGCCGAGACTAGCAACACTACTATACACGTTTCTTCAATAACCGAGATGCTGTCCTAAGTGCGCAGTGCTATTAACGACGCTAATATTCACAATACGAGTAGTAGTAGTAATAGTTGTAGTAGTAGTAGTAGTAGTAGTAGTAGTAGTAGTAGTAATTAGGAGTGGATGTGTGAGACCCAGTTCCTTATATTAGCTCCATGGCTCCTGCTGCTGCTACTACTACTCTGACTTTAACCTATACGAACTGAGAAGATCTCCCATATTGTTGATGAGATAACTAAAGCAGAGTTTTTCAAATCGAGAAACAGAGCAGCAAGCGAAACCTAAATCGATTTACCAATATGTCGACATAGTTTTGAACCGTAGCCTTGATTAACATGTATGCGCTAATAGACTGTACAAAACGAGTAAGTCTGTTGTTTATAAGTCCGCCCAGCGATGACGATATTCAGTGCAGGTTGTCCTTATAAACTGGCATGAATGCACCACGTGGCTCAATTAAAACTTACCGACTGATATAATCGATTCTCTAGACTAAATTCGATGAATTCTACTAGACAAACCAGGACCACATTAGCTCCAAGAACCGTCAGTGTTTTGCTCAGCACAGTTCCCAAATGGGGGCTGTCGAATAAGGGATATGTTGGGTCCGTATAGCGATCCTCATTAACTGATGTTGCAAGCGAAGTAAACAATGCCGCCTGAAAGAACGTAGAGTGGTAAACAGTGTATCCGAAGATACTTAACGGTTTCAGCTTTCAGCTTCTCAAATTCAGTTCTCTTTTTTCTCATTTGTATGTAATCGTTTACTAATCGCTTAGTGCGTTCGTTAAAACATTGGGATATGTTAGCATAAAAGTCGAGCAAGCAAAATATCTAAACAATTTCTGAACCGCACATATATTTCACATAGCAGAGGCGGTAAATATTCCCCAGTTGACTGTGATATCGTCTGTTAAAATGAGCTTATTTTACTATACGCGGTTATAACGAAAAGCTCTAGAATGTCAATAATTATCTGCTGTCCGCGGATAGCCACGCCTCAAGAATCAAGAGCATTGCTCATTCGCACGTGTCAAATCCGAGGGTCGTAAGTGTTAGAAACGGGAGTCTCGCTTGTGACGGACGAACGACAGTCCGTTGGATTCCACCAAAGCATGTCTAAAGTCCTTACCTGTTTCCTTCTTTCAGACTGTGACTGAACTTATCAACTTTTAGTGCAGTGAAAACTAGTCCTAGACTACCACACCGCAAGGAAGTAATCAACGCCAGATAAAAGATAGAAATGCGGTGACTTTCAGGTGTGTTTGGACGGACTAACCACAGATGCTTCAGGCTCGCTGACGGAATAGCCGAAGGATGATATTCCACAGTGTCGGTTCATCGAAGCTCAAATGTCCAAGGCACACAAACACAACATGCTCAACACGCCGCCTCAGGAAAGCAGAGCGAGCCGTTGGCGGTCGAGAAAAAATGAATCGGAAAATCGGTCAATTAAAACCACTGTACCATACCGATTGAAAAATGAAGTGAGCTAAAGCGCGAAAAATGGAAAATCTATTAACACTACAAGCTGACCTTGTACTGTTTGATTCATTAGACTACCGATCTTCTTGCTTTAAATCGCATCGGACTGAACTGCTTATTCTGCTTTGTAACTGCTTGGACTTGAGTTACTTGCCTGCATTGTGTCTTGTTTGGACGTCCGGTTTTAAGTTGAGAACAGAACTTTGTACATTTGTGATGGACGCTGTCAAGGTCATTATATCATTTGTTTTCCTAACCGTTCGTAAAATTAGCACCGTAGCACATTTCCGGCCTTGACTTTTGAATAGACTCTGGAATCGCACGTGTCGCTTGAATCTACCGCCGGTTTGACGGTTAAACCACACGTCTTAATCTTTTCACCTCATTTGATTGGAAAGATTGTTGCGAGTCATTGTGTATTAGAATGTACAATTTAGCTTTCGCGTTCCTCATGCTATTTCTATCGCTTGTGCTCCACTTACCTTTTAGTACTAGATGCTAAACTCAAACGTGAAAAGGCGGCTGGAGTTGGGAATTTTCGGTTGTACTCACCACCCGGACAATGAATAATCCCTTGCAAACACCCAGAGCATTTAGCCCAAGAGGCTGGCAGAACTGCATCCATTATAGAGCACTAAAGTCGTAACTTAGCGGCAGTGTTCAAATTTCTGCCTCTAACCAACTGAGATTTCTGCTTCATCTCTCCAATACATCATCTAATGTCCAAGTTTTGTAAATGGATAATTTGGTAGGCAAATCCAGTCAGAATTGCGTGGAGATAAAATATTATGTGATTAGTTTACTAGGTACACCATGGAAGCTATTTGAACAAAAAATTACATCTAACGGGTGTACATGGTCTACTTTATCTCATTATTTAATTCAACCAGTAGTTAAAGTTTACTAATCAATACACAGTGTGCTAATCTGTCTGTTTGGGTTTCTCATCTTTGCAACTCCCGCTTGCACTATATTTACAATTGTTGCTCCTCACCTGAAACAGATCTGATGAGAGTACTTGAAACAGTGTTGCCTTATCCTCTGGAAGCAAGTTGTGTCGGTACATAAAGCATAGCAAAACTGCGGCCAAGAGACAACGAAATGGTCCGTGACTTTCGCAAAATGCAAGGCATCGATCGCAACACTTCACGCACGAATTCAGTTGTTCTTTATATTCAGCTATGTTGTTTAGCCCAATCAAACGCTTTAGCGCTTCAAATCCAACTTCAGTAGCCGAACTGAAATGGAAGTATTGTAAGGTGTGCTCACAAAACCCACTTGTAGTTTCCAAGCTGAACTCGGCAATAACAAAGTTGAAGTAGAGCAATCCCCGCTTCGGTTCTGCGATTGCGATTTAGGTCCAAATCTAAACCGGTTTCCCTACATCATCTAACAATACCACTTACCACTTGAACACTCTAACATTTCCGCTTTTCGAGTTAAAGCCTCTTGGCAGTGTTCCAAGTGCGGTGCGTGTTCCAAAAACACTTTTGTCTTCCGTTCCTCGTACATTTTATTGATGTCTCCAATGCGTGGCTTTAAAAGAAAAGCGAAAGAAAAGCAAATCTTATAAATCAATTGCATTTGAAGCATTTACGTGACATACTATTCGGCATCCATCTTTGGAGACAACAATGTTGTTGCACTAATTTCCAGTAACAAGTAGCATCCCTCCTCCTTAAAGAAAACGCTGTTTTAATTCCCCTTGATAGAGGTCATACGCTTTACACGCGTAGTTTTGAGAAATTTCAATGATTTGACTAAAATGCGCATGATTATATGTGTGAACCGACTAGGAAATTTTTTGCTATTACGAATGAGGTGGTGTAGCAATTTATGCCAGCAGAAATGACGGCGAAGCTTATAGCGGAGCTGAACGTAGTGTTATGAAGTTGACTGATAGAACAGGTACGAGTGTTAAGATTATAAGGCCCAGCATTCTTCTAACTTATTAATGGTAGAACAGAAAGTCAAGCAATACGGCGCTATTTCTAGACAAGAGGGAAGCAATTTGGTATAATTATATAAATTACCTCTCGGCCTCTGCGTAATGCACGACCTTTTGTGCAGATTTAATTCTTTTTGGATGCATACAAGTGTGTTGCATTTTTAGCGTGGAATCCTGCATTGATCTAGTGGTCTATCAATATCATTGAAGAAAATTCTTTTTTCTGACAATGAGTAGCCACTATCTAAGAATATCGATGGCTAATTCTTCGTTTATTCATTTGGGCAAACAGCACAGCAAGAGTTTTTTCGAATACCTTTTAAACGCACATTGTAGAAAGCAACCAAAACTGAACAATGTGAGAAACCTCGCTCACGATTTTTTACAAGAAAATGTATTGTTGGTTTAAAAGCCTGCACTGGCGCATAAGATTAAGTTGTTTGTCTCCTTTTAAGGCAAGCATTATAGGCCACTCACACTAAGAAGCAAGGTTTTATTGATGGACTATCAACTACGCACCACCCAATCGCCTTCGGGGTCACCGTTTGCTTTGAAGCAAACTTCTTTTATATCGATCACACGGACCACATCCAAATTAGAAGGCTTTCGTATTGCTTCCTCCCAACACTGTAGTTCAGTTTTGCGAGTCTATCGATGGACATCCATTTACTGCATCAACGATGCTGGTGGTGCTCTCTGACTCACTGACTAAGGCGTCAGCCATCAATCCCTATATGCCTGATTCCACGCACAGCGAAGGACATCTCCACCTGAGGAATCCAAAACAAGACGAATCCAGTCGAAGGATGCAATGATGGGGAACAGCTGCATTTAAACTGTCCAGCAATATTTTGGTTTCGTTGCTACTTTCTTCCACTTGGCCAAGATCTTTTCCCGTTAGAATGGATTCAACTGTAGAGATAAAAAGCTAAACCATTCGATATTGATGGAACTAAGGTCGAACCAACAATAGGGTATATTGTTGCGGGAAAACAAGTGTTGTTGTTTTGCTTGTTCAAGGCTAATGATAAACTATGTGGTAGCACGCGAAGACTAGCTCGTCTTAATCGTAGATTCGGTTTGGGGCAGAAGGTAAAACGTTGCTTTTTAGGATACCTGCTAACTATAACTAGATTTGTCATTATTGGGTGTCCGATCATTTGAAAGGGACCAAGGTTCTCATCTTGATGATGAATACAGAGGTCTTATAGGAGCCATCTTTCATCCTTCACGATGGCAACCCGGGTTTCGTTAGAAATAAGATATGATAAACCAGTTGAATTATAGAACATCAGTAGCCAAACTTAGGCATATCCAGTCTGAAGCTGTTACCGAGTTACATTTTCAATATTAAACACTAGAACGCGAATTATTAGCCTGCATTTCATACCGACCAAGTTTTGTTTAAAAAAACCTGTTTTGGTGCAAATACTACTCGTTGCATTTGAGAAGTTCCACCGATAGGTAACTTGATGAGCTTCCCTGTGATCTGAAAGAAAATGTAGGGTTATTTATCGGTTTCATCTGACTACCTTGTTCTATTTTGCCTTACAAACGCAAGTTCCAACCTTATTTCATTTACTGCGCCTCCGTCATGCTCAGCCTTCGATTCAAACTCCACAACGGTGAAATGTTTGATTGGTAGATCAGTGAGAATACTATTTCACAATGTGTAGGGCCTTGCCACACTACTTAGGCTGAGCTTGCATGTGTCGAGCAAGCCTAATATATAGGGTTAATAAACATGAATTATTTGACGGGAAAATGTAGGTGTTGAGTGATGTTATGGCGTCACAAGTTTTGAGCAATCCAGTCAGTCACTCAGCACATGGAATTTCGACTTTAGTGACGAGATTTCGCTGCTCCAGTGTAGCACAGTTCACAAAATTGTCCCGTACGTCTACTATAGTGACCTCTAATTTCTCACACTTGTCTATATGTCGTAGGGTGTCCTCTTTAAGTGCCAAATCAAAAGTATCGAGGCTGCTTTTTCAGCTTACCGCGAAGAATTTCTCTTTCATTGCTCCTGATATTTTGCTGCTTGAACGCCTTCTTGAGGCAAGGGGGATGAGGGGAAGAGTTCCACAATAACCCAACCAATGTGTCCCTTCGGAAGCGACTTTTTCCGTATGGCTATCCAGCTCTTGTTCCGTTTCGTTCATATCCAATGGAACGCCGATATTTGTTTTGGTATCCACTCTCTCGTAATGTCCAAGGTTCTGTGTAAGCAACCAGCAATATAGTAAAGGTATAGACTTTCTAATCCAATTTTATTAATTAAGAAAGCAAGGTTGAGTTTCGAAAGTTTCGAGGCAAGCCTCGCTAGGCAAGAGCTTCATACACACAGTAAATAGGTGCAGCAACGGATGCTGAGTTGTGTAGTTAATCGAACAGTTATCTGCAAAAGCTTTTCCCTGGAGCTAGAATTTAGTTCCTTTATAAGACCTGTTTCGTTGCATTCGCTTCATTAAAACGTAAGCAGTTAGGATGCATATAACCAGACACCATACTCAACGTAATTAGTTCGATTGTTGATCACACCCATGTTCCCCATCGTTAACTGTTGTGCCACCATTCTGTGAAGCACTCAACTCTCTTCCACAAACAACCCAAGCTTCGGCTGCCGATGTTTAGTGCCTTTTGTTAAAGATGCCGCGGACAGATCCAAAATAAATTGAAAGTTCCCAATTTGAAGTTGAAACATATGAAATAACGACTTCTGCTCTAAGTAACAAACCGACATCTACGTAATCTCGCTAAAGTTGCGTTATATTCATACAGTAAAACCACACCTTCAGGATTCCATATGTGAATCAACTCACAGCGAAAAAATCCTGCTAATGGTTGCGTATTTTGCACGCATGATACACTGCACACTGTCAATGGAGAATTGCGTAAGGAAATTGGGTTATCTTTCATCACTACATATGTAATCATGACAGAAATTGCATTTTCAAGGGAAGCTGAGATCGTACATGAGAGAAAAGTAGAAAACTAAGGAAGCATATTTTGGAGGGTATATTTCTATAGGATTAGCAATTTTCATACAAACTACCCAGTTTATTTCTCAGATTTGAGAGAAACGCAAGATAATGAGTAAAGCAAACAATTGTTTTCGGTTTCTTCATCACCCGGAATGTCAAATAAATACTGAATACTGTATTGTAGGAGCAAGTAGGAATTTCGACTATGATCATCAACGTTCAAAAAATAAACAATTAGTTACCAATACGCTGATAGCTTTCACGTTCACACATTCGGTTGTTAAAAAGTCGTTTAACTCACAGTAGATCAGGTCAAAAAATGCGACATGCCTGTGGGCAATGTATACAATATACTTCAAGAAAATCAAGTCCGTAGGACAATCCGGAATTAAACCATTGATTAGACCAAAACTAACCGGCTCTCACAATATGCGTCGGGTACGGAGGTGATAGTACGTGAGGCTTTTAAGCCGGATCAGCTTTGCCTTTTTTATTTGTTGGCCAAAGAAGTTGCAACACTTGAGTGAGTTAATTTTGGATGCAGTGATTTCGTCTCGTCGAGCTTATCCTTCCGCCTTTACAGTATCTAGTAACCATATTGTTAGTTTGTGCCCTAAGTGGGCTGGCACCTTATACAGAATTTTGTACTTATTACGCTTGTCAACATGGTGCCATGTACTGATCAAGGGGTTAGTTATGGCAATCAAATTAGTGCTGTCCCTTCGGTATTCTTACAATATATTTCTGCCGTACGCCTGAGGGTGAAGACATCGATAACGATGGCTTGATTTACGCGTTCCGCTTGCGTTTCTCTCGCATTCGAATAGCAGATGGTAACAATTTAACAAGCAAAAATTGAATGCAACTATTTGGAGTGAAGGCTCGCCAAGAATCCTTTTCGAACACCACTAATTCCTATCACAACAGCAAATTTGGGTTCAATCTTGAGGTAGAAAGTTTGAAATGGTCTCAGGTCCGCCGTCGACTTGTTGAAATGTTTATGTTGTCCTTAGCACTCCCATGAAACTCCTAAGGTCTCTCTATTCTTTTTCTATCTTCGGTTAAAGCAGCTAACTCGTAAAGTGAAAATGTTTGTTAAATTCGTTGTCACTGTGTTTATTACTAAGGTTTAATCTAAAAACCATTAGCCCTTGGCATCCAACCTTAACTTACTAACTAGTAATCTCCAGTTGCCAAAGCAGGCTTGCTTGACGACAGTCAGTGGTGGAAGCAGCGTTTTTGATCAAGTTGTCGGCAGATACCTTTCTTGGGCATTAAGGAAAGAAGCAATAATTCCCTATCACCCAATTAAAACACATGATCATCAACCTCGGTTCAAGAATGCTTCATCCTGCCACCTTACAATTTAAAATAACAATTAGACGGATGGAAATTTGACGTTGCGCACCAAAAAGCACAACGAACCATGACTCCTTTCGACCTCATTTGATCTCGGCCACGACCTCAGTGACCGAACTAACTAAGAGGCAGTGGAGGGTCCCAGTGACCGTATTGACAGAGGCCGGCTTCCTAGTCAACCGCCGCCACTAGTGAGACTGCGCGTCGCAATCCAAGACACGCGGCCGGTGCTCCAAAAAACCGAAAATCTAACTAAGAGGCACTCCACTTTGAACCGCCGTCTACATTCAAACCACACTTCGTCATGCAAACACCCAACGCGTACTTCACAATGCCCCTTCAAGCAATCAGACCCGCTGATTCAGCATCAGTAGCCCAAAGGAGGACTCTGAGCAACGGCCAGTAGATGGGATTTTAGTCAAAAATATTGGTTGCCTCAGTCCCTGCCTAGAGCGTTGGAAATGTTGACAATTGCAACCCAATGAAGACCACTTTCTTGTTCTAACAACTGCCGGCAAGTTACGAAATCCTGTATGCAGAATATGGCTGAATGCTGGCTGCAGATCTTCCATTCAAGACGAATAATTGTCTCTGGCTTTCTTGTCGTGCAACAGTGCGCCTAAGCGGTGGGTACACTTGTACACCCTGTACTAAATCCATAGTTCACTCCTAAACAGAAAGTAGTCTACTTTTATTTACTTTATAATTTAAGAAATATTTCGATGTACAAACTAATGTAGCAGCTTCAGCTACTCAAGATCGAAACGTTCTTGATATGAAGAAGGAAAAACAACTTATCAGGCAGAAAGAAACACTTTATGGCGTCGATATTTATAGACCCAGCTATCGCTACCCACTACTGGTCAATCCGTTGTGATGAGTCGTTCATTTGGCATTCCTTTTCATCGAGCTACAAGTGTTCAAGATTCCTGCGCTGCAGCCTGTTAACCATGGTGGGGAGAGACTCGATGGCTCAACTCCAACTGGGAGGTGTGCATCAGGGTGTTAGACAAATGGCGCTTTCCGTATTTGACGGGCTATGTTTCCGAATTCCAACAGGGAAATGCCACACTACTAACAAAAATAAATGTCCAGTACCCTACATGGGGATTAGATAAATAACACATTTTCTACAAAGGTTCCCCAGCTCGGAGTACCTCCGGTGTTTACTGATATAATACCAACTCATGTCATTTCGGCACCTTACATAGGGGTTTCAGCTGGATGTCAGAAAGACGGTGAAATGACATTATACAGAGACATTCTGACATTCTGAACTCAAAGGCTTGCAATTATTTTGCTCTCTTTGGACTTTTAGCAACTGCTTTTTGCTCTATAACAATTGCACCACTATGTCCGTGAGGACAAAGTTGCGTAACAACAGTGGCTGGCCAAATGTTTCTGGTAAAAAACAAATTACTGTACAGCCAAATCAACAGCCTAGGTAAAGTAAAAGATCACATCCCATGACTTTTCACGACAGGCATAAAGCACCGATGAGGCAGCCGGTGCAGTGTAACTAAAATATGCCCCGATTTTTGAACTGGAACCCAGTTTCTGCCATATGCCGTCATCCACTTTACCGACTACAGTTAACTTACCTGATTTGCAATCCATTATCTATACTAACGATGTTTGCTCTCATTGCGTGATCATAGCTCTTCCGAAGCTGGTAACATTAGCCCGAAATCACTGAAGGATGCGGCCACTAAGCTAACGCCTCCCTGTTGTGGTTCTTTCAAAGGAGCATTAATGAGCAACAAGTCTGTACTGTGGGAAACCAAGGCATCCCACCCCAATATTACATGCGGTAGCCGATTAGATATTGCAGACCAACTACATGTGACTCTCCCTTGTGCTCTTGAAGGTGATGCAATCGGTCATCGCTGATGCGTTAGCAGACTGCTTGGAAAAATGTAACTTTTTGGCAACGTAGCGCCAAACACCAGTCTTGCACTACTAACCTGCTGGTTGCATGAGATAGTTGGACGGAATAGATGGGGATGAAATCTAAGCCATCCACCTGGATGTTTACTTAGCTATTAACCGCCCGGCTCTTGCTTCACAGGAAACAGAGCTGTGGAATCGGGAATCCTGTTCCTGAGTGGATCAACATCTTCATTCGCCAAAGTTAGCTTCAAGAGAATGATACGCAATCACACTCCAATCTGGTTAAGGTGAATTGCAGTGTCCTAAATGGCTTGACGCCAACAGCGTTCTTTGTTATTGATGTTTTTATCGACTTGACGAGAGTTATTGCCTCTAATTTATTGTTCCTTGAGGATGACACAAGCACTTAATTGCAGTGAAGATCACTAGTTCCTCCAAGCTGACCCGTATTGAGTTCGTGAGTTGTCAACGAGGAACCTACTCCATTTCAACACAGGTAAGTGCAGTGTGATTCACAAGCGTCATCAGCCTGTGAGTGTTTACTGGTCTGGTCTTGCGGAAGACCTCTCGGGAGCTTTATCCTGGAATACTGATTCAGGACGATCTCGGTTGCTTGAAACAACCAGGGTAAGTTTCGGCCTTCTTCGCAGAGCGTACGGTCAGTTTTACCCCTAAATTTTCGCACAAGATTTTAACGCCTATGTGCGACAGCAAGTGGAGGACGTCATCCAGGTCTGGCTTCCGTGCCAAAGACAGGATCTCATTGCTGTCGAGATTCCGTGACGAAGGGCATCCTAGAAATTTAGGGGTCTCTTCACCTGCCTTGCAGGCATTTACCGCAGTCTTTAGGAATGTACCGCAGTAGATGTCGGCCATTGCGGTGGAATCACATACTATGGTGCCAGATCCTGAAGAACAACCAAAGCCAC